TATCCCTAGGAATAATATCCTTGACCTGAAATAGGACCTGCGATCGCACCGCTCTTGAAAAGAGTCATAGTGTCCTCACGGACATTGGCCTTTTTAGAGCCTTAGGAAAGTGCGTTCGGCTCGCTTCCACGCGCCTCCGAGCATGTTAGCGAGATACTTAAACTTGCTAGTTGCGTCATTCCATACCTCCACATTTCCGAGAGGTTTTGACGTAACAATACATTTCGTCATCAAAACAACCTTTATACTGCTACAAAGTGTATATTTATATACACTGTAGTTGAAACTGCCAAACTAACGTAGAAAGCAGTCAAAACTGCCGTTATATACTTTCTTTCCTTTATCTTGAAAACTAGAAAAGATTTAAAAGAAACACCCGTGGCACGTTATTTCTATGATAAATTTACATATGGCTCAAGAGAATAAAAAAAGTGTCGTCAAAACTGCCCTTTGACATATACAGTGCCTACCAAAAGTTCCGGGCCACCTAAATAATTTTTTAATGGTTTGAAATGTAGGATTGAAATTTATAAGGATACAATGGGATCACAAAGTCTATTATTTAACCACAAAAACACCCACCTCCGCACTCCCGGGGGACGGGGGGAGGAGGGAGCCAAAAAACCTTAAATGACATGTGGGGTTGAGTGAGGACTCGTTCGAAAGGGCTTTCCAAGACGAAAACGCGGGGTCGCCGAGGTCTCTACGATTTTTTTTCGCAGAGTTATGATCATTTGAACATTTTTATTGAGATTTTGCGATAGCAAAGGCCCACGGCGACAACAGAAGAAAGAAAATGTGTTTGTACTTTACTCGCTGGCTCTATTACTCAGGAAGTAATTTACACGTTAAATAAAAAGATCACAAGGATGATTATTTATGTCAAATTAAACAGGTAGAAATAAAACCGTAAACTGTTAATCCATGCTCTGAGACGACGGGCGACTGAATTCCTCTCGTCGGTGAAATGAGTACTTATCCGATCTGATCTCGACGTCGAACCATCAACTGGGAATCGCTTTCCTCGTTATCCTCAATACATTAATCCGGGTGGTGATCTGCTGGTTGTAAGGATTTAGTGATTCTGGGTGCGAGCAAGCGCACGATCCTTTGGAATAGGCGGGTATTCTAGAGTATGAGCAAACGCAGGGAGTCCTTGCGGACGAAGCGGTTTCCCTGGGTGCGATAGCGTGCACCAAGTCCTTGCGGACGAAGCGTTTCCTGGGTGCGTTAGAATGCACCAAGTCCTTGCGGACGAAGCGGTTTTCCTGGGTGCGTTAGCGGGCACCAAGTCCTTGCGGACGAAGCGGTTTTCAAAACTCCGAGCCTCCCTCGTCTCGGATAATGCCAAAGGACTCGAGAGAGAGTTCCCACTCGCGTTATCGATCAAACAGATAAAAGAACGTTCACCAAACTACGGACCGTGAAGCGGCGTGTAACGAAGCACTCGAACAACGGAAAGGACCTGCTTCGTCCGAGCCTCGACCTCTAGTCGAAAAGCGCGGACCATGGAGAGGGCCCGTGTCAGATTGCGTGTTTGATTGGTGGAGAGAGCGGCAATCTAGGGGTTTCGTGCGAATCGAGTTGGTACCGAGCGCGCCCTTGCCTGATTGGCTGGATCAGGCCCTTGCCTGATTGGCTGGAAGTGCGGGCCGTCGAAGCGGTCCACACGAGTCGAGTAGGTGTAGAGCGCGGACCATGAAAAAGGACCCAGAAGGATGAATCTTGCACAGACCAATAGGAGAGCCCGTATGCATTGGGTAGTTGCGGAGCGCGGACTACGAAGAAGGACCATCTTTTCGCAATTCCCAGATTGCATGGGTTCTAATCGCTTCTCCAAACATTCCGCCCGCCTTCGACAATTAGTTCGTCGAAAACCCTCCTTCTCGTTCAACTGGCAGAATACAGACTTTGGCTATTGGTCGTTTGTAGGTGGAGGAGGCGGTCTGCAAAGAAACGACTCTGATTAGTCCGTCAACCCCCGGGTGCAACTTTGTGACTCTCGCAAGAGGCCATTTTCCGGGAGGATAGCGTTCGTCAATCATCAGCACTAAAGATCCTTCCTTAACTTCATGAGAAGGGTGTTGCCACTTAGATATGGCTTGGTATCGCTGTAGGCACTCTGTGGACCACCGGGTCCAGAATTGATCCAGTTTTTGTCTAAGAAGTTGCCATCGCGACAGTCGTGAAGTCGGCTCAGCGGCCAAATTCGGTTCCGGGATGATAGCGGGAGATTCGCCTATTAAGAAGTGACCTGGAGTTATGGCTGAGTAGTCACTGATGTCCTCCGAAAGGGGACACAATGGTCTGGAATTTAGAACGGCTTCTATCTGCACAATGACTGTCGTCATTTCCTCGTATGTAAGAACGGTTTCTCCTAAGACTCTCCGAAGATGGAACTTGGTAGATTTAACTGCGGCCTCCCATATTCCTCCGAAATGAGGTGCCGACGGAGGGTTGAATTTCCATTCCGTTCCGTCATTGGCGAGCAGGGTAGCGAGTTCTCGCAATTCCTTGGGGGAGGAATCAAATAAGCGACGCAGCTCAGCATCAGCTCCTAAGAAGTTCGTTCCGCAGTCGCTTTGAAGGGTGTGGCATACACCTCTCCTGCCAGTAAACCTTTTGTAGGCGGCGATGAAGCCAGCCGTAGTGTAGTCTGTTACTACCTCGATGTGGATGGCGGTGGTTGCTAGACATATAAAAATTGGAAGATAACCCTTATAGGTACGAGCCGCCCGCCCTCGCCAAGTTTTTAACGCAATGGGTCCGGCGTAATCTAGCCCGGAATTCTGGAAGGGTCGTGCCGGTGTCACTCGAGCTGACGGTAGTTGTCCCATCAATTGTTGCGCTCGAATCCCTCGATAACGTGCGCAGCGTACGCATTTCAGGATGCGTGATCGCACTGATGATCTTCCGCCCAAGATCCAGTATCTAGATCGTATTAGGTTTAAGGTAACTTGCGCGCCTCCGTGCAAGGCTCTGAGGTGAGCGTCGTCCACTATGAGTGGTGAGGGGGGACCTTCGAGGCAGGATGAGGGGGTGTTTGGTTTCCGCATCCATTACGGCGTTTTGTAGTCGTCCTCCAACTCGTAAGAGTCCCTCTCCGTCCAAAAAGGGTGTAAGCCTCACTAAGGGGTTGGATTTTGGCAACGGCTCTCCTCTGGAAACGTGTCTTACCTCGTTAGAGAACCATTCTTGTTGTACGAGTCGTACCCAGGTGTTGCGACTTTGGTCTATTTCGTCTGGCGTCAAGGGATAATGTATTGGCGATGTTTGCGGCAACCTTTTTAGCCTTGCTACAAACCTGCGACAAGTTGCTGTAACCCGCAACAACTTCGTAAAGGAGGAATACCTATCAAGCAAGTTCCAGTAGGAGTGGGTTTGGGCGACCGTAGTCGAAATTTGCCCGGGTCGTTCTTCCAGTTCGACTTCGACTTCAGGCACACAGTCTGCAGAAGGCCAAAGTGATTTTAGTTCCTGTAGCCAACAGGGGCCCCGCCACCACAAATGATGGTTGATCAAGTGGTCCGGTTGGAGGCCTCTGGAGGCGCAATCCGCTGGATTTTCCTTTCCCGATACGAAATGCCACGAGGCGCCAGGGAGAAGCTCTTGTATGGCACACACGTGGTTGTGGACGAAGTCCTTCCAACGTGATGGATGGGCGTTGATCCAGGTCAGAGCTACTGCTGAGTCCGACCAACAGTACACAGATGTCTCGGGTAGTTCCAGAGCCTTTATCGTCAGTGTCATCAGGCGCGCTAGCAATAGTGCTGCGGCGAGTTCCAAGCGGGGTATTGTTAGCCGTTTAATTGGCGCGACCTTTGTTTTAGAGCATACTAACTGCACGGAATACTCACCGTTTTCCACTGGGACTCTAACATAAACCGCAGCTGCCAATGCATATTGGGAAGCGTCCGAAAAGCCGTGTAATTCGATATCGGTACTAGAGCGTACATGCTTAAGCCACCTGGGTATGGATATTTGATCAAGCTTTAAGAGTTGTTGTCGGAAGAACACCCAACGCTCATGTAGTTCGGAAGGAATGGGGTCATCCCATCCTATTTTCACTACCCAAAGCTCCTGTAAAATAATCTTAGCTTTTATCAGGACTGGTGATATTAATCCTAGCGGATCATATAATCTTGCGATTTCGGAGGCAATCTTCCTTTTGGTGAGAGTAGGAGTAGAAAAGTCTAAAACGGAAAAATGGAAGGTGTCTTTGTCAGGTTTCCAAGCGAGGCCTAGTATTTTGTGAAGGGTAGGCTCAATCTCAACTGTGAGAGGCGAATTTTCATCTGTAGGGGGCAGAACTTCCGGATAATTGCTGCTCCACTTCTGCAATGGGAATCCGCCCGCCCTGCAGATTTCACTTAATTGCTTAACGATAACTTTGGCTTCTGAGACTGAGTCGGCTCCTCCGAAGATGTCGTCAACGTAGCGGCCCTTTGTCATTGGGATAATAGCTTGCGGAAAGCAGTGACCCTCGTCCGTGATAAGTTGTTGTAATGTTCGTAATGCAAGGAACAGTGCGCAATTTAGACCGTAAGTTACCGTTGTTAGTTGGTATATCTCAGGCTGTCCGTCTGGCTTCTTCCACAATATTCTTTGTAGATCCCAATCCTCCGGGTGAAGAGCGATCTGCCGAAACATTTTTACGATGTCAGTGGAGAAGAGGATTCTGTGGGAGCGAATCCACAAAAGAATTTCCACGATATCTGTCTGGAGTTTAGCACCTGCATGGAGAATATCGTTGAGTGACAGACCTCGGCTTGTAGGACTTGACCCGTTGAATACTACCCTCAATTTGGTGGTAAGGCTATTTTCTCTTAACACACCATGGTGGGGTAAGTAGTATTTTAAAAAAGGTAAAAAAAGCACCAAGTATAAGCTCCAACGACCGAATATATTTTGTTACTCTATCTTTTTGCATCTCTACAAAAATATCTTCACTACAAAACTATCTTCTCTACAAAAGTAATGATATCATCAAATGGCACCAACTAAACTAAATAGTTTTAAACGTGGTGGGGCGATGATTGAAGTGGGAGCATAC